TGTAAAATCAAGCTTTTAATTGGTTGATTAAAAGCTTGTATCCTCTATTTTATTATTTTTATCTCTATGACTTACTACATTTTGAGAGCAGTTTACTGTTCTCCCACTATGATTATGATTTTTCAAATTCTTTATTTCTAACAGATTTTTGTTTAATGTATTTTTATTATATTACTCTATAAATAACCTGGAATTTTCGTACAAATTATTAAATTTTCTTTCTAAGTCAATACACAGTCTCATATTTCACAGTTATTTAGAATTAACTAAACTTTTCTTACTGGTCTCTTTGCTCACTACAGATGGTTTCTTGAATTCCATATCCTCTTATTTTTTGAGTTATTTGTTTTCGTTTCTTTGTTTTTCTGGAGTAGTTCCTCAAACAACTTTTTTTTCAGGAATAATTATGTAAGTAGTATAATTTCTAAGCTTTTCTATACCTGAAAATGCCTCCCCCGCCCCACTTCATATGTGAATGAAAGTTCAACTAGGTATCTAAAAATTCTAGGGTCTTAGTTCCTTTAGAACTCTGAAAACATTGTTGCTACCAGTCTGATTTCTCTTACTTTAGTAGGTAACTTTTTTTTTTTCTTTTGTCTAAGTTTTTTGCCTTTTGTAGTATTTTACTGATACCCTTGGAAATCAGAAATCTGACTCTGAGCCCTTTAATCTGAACATTCAAGTTTTTCATTGGTTCAGGAAAACCTTCTGCGTCTGTAATTAATTTTAGCATTGCCTCTCTTCCCTCCACTCCATTTCCTCCTGGAGTTTCCACTTTATGGAAAGAGAGTAGATCTTCCCACTCTACTCGTCTTGTCTGAGTCCTTCCTCTTGTTTTGCGTGAGTTAATCTTCTTGTGCACTGATTGGCTTTTCAAGAGTGTCCATGCTGCTATTTGTATGACTTCTATGGAGTTTTTACTCCACAAGTCATGTTTTTAATTTCTAAGATCGATCTAGTTCTCTGATTGGCTTCCCTCATAGCAGTCTACTCACATATTAAAGCACTGCCCTCTTGAATCTCACTGAGAAATAAAGCAGACTTTTTAGAAAAGCTCTCCCTCTTTCCTGAATTAATTCACTGAGATCATTTTCTTGCCTTGCTCAGCTTTGCTCCCCTCTTCCATGCTGCTGATTCACTGTATATGTCCAGTGAGTTTTAATTGTCCATTCATGTACTTAAACTCAGCAGAGGGCATATTAGAATCCTTAGGGGAGCCTTATCATAACTACACCATGGGCCCCACCTGAACTAATAAATTTGGAATGTTCCAGAGGAGGGCAGTGTTGGGTTAAGATCTTGGGACGCAGAGTCAGACACAGAGATCTGTGCCCAAACCTTGGCTCCACCTCTTGCTAGCTTACCAATTCCTGGTCCGCCTCAGCTTCTGAGGTGGTCCTCTGAGAGCTCACAGGGGTGATAGGCAGGGGCTGGAAGGAGGCACTGGACAAGCTGGGATAGAATGGTGCACCTTCTGAATCTTGAATAGCTCTGCCCATGACTCTGACCAAGTCCACTCCCTTCCTCCCATGTCCGTATCCCTGGTTCCCAGGGAGAGCACCTGCCGTCTTTATAACAGAACTCTGTCATCACACTACGGCTAGTTATATTTTTGAACCTAATTTGTATGCCTGACCCTTGCTCTCTTTACTACCCCTTCAACACCCCTCTCTCTTTCTGCTCCCTGATTTCTTCATGATTCAGAATATCACCTAAATGATACATCAAATGGTCATACACAACAGCTAGGAACTGAGGACCCTGCAGTTCTTCCAGAAAGAGCAGGGCCAACTTAAAATTGAATTCCATTCTAAATGTTCATGAGTATGTTTGATATATACGCCTCTACTACCCCCAGCGTAGTCAAGCACAGAGGAAACACAGACACTAGTTGCCCTCAAACGGAATTTGAAATGAACCAGTGGATAATAGTGACCCCCTGCACCCTTGCTGCCTCTTCTTTTGGGGGAGCATACCTGGCAGGGGCACCTTCACCATAACCTCTTCTCCCCCCCCATATCCCAAATCATAATTCTTTTGAAACACTCAAAAGTAAAGTAGCTTCTCCCTCATAAAATATGTGGGGACCCTCAAACTGAGACAGTAAAAGCCCAGTTGCCATTTTAGGGTTGTGGTTCCATCCCGCCCACCCCACTCTGGGGCCCCAGTTTGTCAGCTGGCTACAGCCTGCTTTCCCATTAAAGAGAACATTTATTTAAGTCATGACAGGTTACTTTTTGGTCATTATGACTAAGCTTCTCTTCCAGTTGAGGTTGTGGACTCCATGTAAGCATGGGGGTGGGGGGAATGGAAAGTGTGCTCTGATAAGTGATAAATAAGTACGCACTTAACACTCAGTAGTTCAAGCCATACGGTGCCTGATGATGGATTCTCCATTCCTGTGACCTCATTGAATGCCACGTAACGTCCTTCAGGGGCATCCATTGTACTTTGGGTCAAATCCACGTCCAAATCAAGGCCCACGGAGCCCTCCCTGCGTGATCTCACACTACCTGCCTCCCCATGCCATCAGGCTGTTCTCTCAGTTGCTTTCACCATACTGGCCTCTTTTCTGTTTTCCAAACAGACCAACCCCTTTCCTAGCTCTGCACCTCTCAGAACCCTGCTTAGAATGTCTCTTCCCTAGTGCCTTGCATGGGGCTCCATCTCCTCCGTGGGTCCCAACTCAGAGGTCACCTCCTCCAAGAGGCTTCCCAGACCCTCCAGCTGAAGTTGCCATCCCACTCATCTCAGCAGCTACCCATCCTCATAGCCTCCTGTTCGTTTCTTTCACATGCTTGTCTGCCTCTCCAGTAGAACCTAAGTTCTGTGGTGGCAGTGACTGACCTTTTTTGTCTCAGTAGCTGTGTCCCCAGCACCTAGAGCAGTGCTTTGCTCAAATATCTTTTGGATGAATGAGTAAACAATTGAATGAACTCCCACAACAGTATTGTAAGCTCTGGATATTATTTTAATCCACTTGTGGATGAGGTTCAGAAAAGCTGAATAAATTATTCCAAGTTGTATAGAACTAGTGATTCAGACTCAAGTCTTCTGGGTCTTCTGACTCCAAAAACCAACTTATATACACAAAGACTAATGACAGCCTCAGCTAGAAACAAGTTCCTGATTGCCGAGTTTTGGGGTTCTTTCTCCACAACAGTTTTCCAGCTGTAACTCATGAATAAAAAGAGGACTGGGGAATTCTTTCTTTTTATCCTTTTATAGTTCATCGCCTCCCCTCACCCAAGTGGTAGATCTAAATTTGATATAGTGTTTATATTGGGAGTATTTGAACCCAGAATGGAGGTAGCTACACTTGTGGTTTGTCTATTTTGAGGCCAAATCACAATTCAAAAGAATTATTTCTGCCGAGAGCTGAAGGAAAAGCTCTCCAGGCGAGAGGAGGGCAGAAGCATCCTTTCCCCAAGGTAGAGCTTTGTCTGAGCAGAAAAGCTGCAGGAATTCTCCCTGACCCGCCGTGGCCCAGGAAAGGAACCTGCACTGAGAAGAGTCTGGAGCTGATGCTCTTCAAGAAAGAGGCAGGCCCAAGTGAGCCAAACGTCTTCACTCAGCTTCCTTTCGAAAGTGGACGTCTGCCAGAAGAACGCTGATCTCATAGCCCCCTCTTGTGGCCTTGAGGTGTCACTGCAGCCTCTTTCCAAGTCGTGAGAGCAGAGGCTTGCATTACAGGATCGTTCCCTTCCTTTGGCAAAGCTCTGTCCCCTGCAGGTGCTGTGGACACTCAGAGCACGCTTGGAGGAAGTTCCCCACCATGTTCACATCTCTTTTCCCCTGAAGTCCACTATCCAAACTCAAAAAGAGGAATAGTTTCATTTTTGTCCCTAATGAGTCCAAAGGCAAAGTTATGCTCTGGAACTCAGAATCCAACTGGACATTCAGGAGACAGAGGATACCAGGAGATTTGTTCAAGGACCCTCAAATGAAAGCTAGGTCCCCTAACTTCAAGCCTCCAACTGGTGTCTGACCACTGCTAGATGGCCCCTCAGGGATTGGTTCCATGGTGCCCAGAACTGTCCACCTCCCTTCCTGTAATAGGCATGTCAGCATTTACTTGGCCTTATGTGTAACGCACAGTGAACTAGACATTGCTGACTCTACTTAATGTCCTGCCCATAAAATATATAAATGCAGATGTATTCCTGTCTTGCAGGACTATTGTGAGGATTAAGAGAGCTTATGGGGAATTCCCTGGTGGTCGAGTGGTTAGGACTCCACGCTTTCACTGTAGGTGGCATGGGTTCGATCCCTGGTCGGGGAACTAAGGATCCCACATGCTGCGTGGCACAGCCAAAAATAAATTTATTTTTTTTAAAAAGAGTTTATGGATAAAGTATCTACCACAATGCCTAGGACACAGTAGGTATTCAATAAAAAGCAGCTACTTTAAAAATTAACGCTACTTTCCTAATAGCTCTGTTTTCTTCTACCACATCTGCCTTCCTGTCCCCTGCTTCCCCCTCCCCCTCCACAATACGTATTTATTCATTCATTTTCTCTCCTCAGTTTCGTTTTCAATTTCTCTATTCTCAGTCTCTCCATTCCTTCTGAGATTCTCTGGGCGCTCACTGACCTGACTTCCCAGGAACACTTTGCTTGTTTAGAGTAACTCTTGGATTTGTCCTGGCACTCTCTGTTTCTTTAATCTGTGGTTCATAATTCCTCAGAGTAGAAACCACTGGCGCTTCCTCTCTGCCTGAGGGCAGGTTAAAAAGTGCGTGAGCATGTGCCCTCCTCCGGTGGGTTCCTGGGAAGCCTAGACCATGACTCAGCTTGGAAATGATGAATATCCAGCCCAGCCAGTGCTCCGTGAGGGAAGGAAGCAGAGATCCGAGCTGCAGAGGCACAGGTGTGCCTTTAGGACAGCGCGGCCCGGTGGTGGTGCCGGGAGCCTGTGTTGTGTGTGGGAATCTTGCCTCCCTGGGTTTGGTGAGCGGCCCTATGGGCCCTGCTGACTGACGGTTTCTCTCCTGCTGCAGACCCACTCCGGATACTTCTCCAGCTTGTACCCCCCTCACCAGTTCGGCCCGTTCCCGCATCATCACTCAGTAAGTGCCCACAGTTCAGCCCCATCTGCCACTCGTCCCTCTCCTGTGGCCGGTGCCGCTCAGTCCTTGGCAGACTGACCAGTGCATGCTCACGGTGTGCGTGCCGGGTCCCCTGGTTCCAGGCTGTCCTGGGAGTGACACATTGCAGGGCATCAGCACACCAGACCGCCCGGCACTCAAGGGCACTGAGTGGCCCTTCAGCATCCTGCTGGTGCTCACAGATCCCACAGGTGGCCGGAAACTGGTGCAGAGGAGCAATCAGCAGGTCAGATTAGGAGGTGGTGTTGGGCTAAAGAACAGAGCCTCCGAAGTTCTTTAATAAAGTCTAGCAAGTGGGCCGTGTCATGCCCACAGACCCCTACAGACAAGAACAGCAAGGGCCCCTGGCGGGCTTGCCTGTGTCTCTGGGCCGTCCCCTCGCAGCCTGTTCAGGGCAGGTTTAATTACACTCTCGTTTTGAACCCAGTCCCCCTCCAGTGAAAATGCCGCTCCTGCCCACTAGGTGGGAGGGCAGCTCTCCATTCCTGCTAACAAAGTGCCTCAGGCCAGGTGTGCTTAATAGCTACTGATTCCTTGGATGAAGACACAGGAGAAATACACATCACATTTGAACTTGACAGAAGGCCCGTGGACAGACAGCTTGCTGTGTCCAGCAAATTCAGAGCTGCCCAGGAGGAGTTTGCACTCTAGTGGTTGTGTAGTTGGTGTGGATCCTGTTCAAGTTCATCCCTCCAGCTTCCCCCCTTGCAGCGCCCTAGGCCCCAGAAGAAGCCCATGCAGCATCCGGCCATTGCTCCGTTACTGCTGAGTGCCTGAAGGAGCAGCCCCAGTAGGAATGATGTCGTCTGTCTTGTCTTGTCCTGTCCTTCCAGTATCCAGAGCAGGAGATTGTGAATCTCTTCATCCCAACCCAGGCTGTGGGTGCTATCATCGGGAAGAAAGGGGCGCACATTAAACAGCTGGCCAGATTCGCCGGGGCCTCCATCAAGGTAAAGCCGCTCTTGACAGCTGCCCCTGTCCCACCCTCTTCCACCCCCATCGCCACCCCATGTCCCTTGTTCCTTCTGTCCGTCCCGGGCAATTCTTACACCATCCATAAAATCCTCCAGGACCTGGAAAGCCTGCCTTCCGGACTATTCCCATGTGCACTCATCTTTACCTCTCTCACTCCTTTTTTGTTCCACTAACAAATGAATTAGGAAAAAATACTAGTAATACGTAAGCCAACCTGGTCCTCTTTGGGCTACCATAGTCCTCAAGATAAAGCAAAGGCTGAGGATTCTCCCAAGTGAAGGGAGTGAGCCTAAGGAGAGCGATAATTTATATTCAGCAGTTGTCAGTGCTTTGATGCTTTAGTTAGTCTCCATTTCAGAAACCTTTGAACTTTGAAACAAAGAGCTTGAATGGAAAACTCTTTGAAAGGCAGTGATGAAGCCGCAGATAAACAAAAGCCGGTGACATAACCTGAGCCGCGGCCTCCCGGTTGAGGAGAGAGGTCAGGAAGGAGGGCCCCTGATTCACCCGAGTGCAGACACAGCTGCAGTTACATTCCCACCGCCTGTCTCCTGGAGCACAATGGGAAGAGTCGGCAGAGAAGCTGAAAGGGGAGGATTATTCGACCCTGGTCCCGCTCCAAGCCCAGCTATCAGCGCTGACTCACGGGCAGAATGCTGAGCACGTCCCAAGCCTCGTGAAACGCTGTCGGAAACAAGAGTTCCCGTTGTTACGTAAAATAATTTGCTGCCATGGGACAACCCGGAATTCCGAACAAGAAGTCTCATGACTTGGAGAGAAAGAATGCTTACACTTTCTCCCTAAGAAGAGCTGGAATTTCTCCCACAGCAAGTGTGCTGGAGAAAAAACAAAAACAAAACATTCTGAGTAGTGCAGAACAAGGATTGCAGTGATACCATGAAAGAATTTTATGTAGGTAAATCATTTCCCCTCTCGGTGCTCGTTTATCTCACCTGCAAAGCCCGCAGATTGGAGGAGAGCCCGAGGTGGGGGCAGACGGTGGTGGAGCACCCGGGGCCTTTGCACCCGGCAGGCTTGTTGCAGGTGAGACCCCAGCCCAGGTACTGACTGGCTGTGCTGGGCCCACCCTCTGTGTGGGACAGGTAAGGTATGGACGACCACTGGGCTGGCTGCACCCTGAGGGCCATTCTCAGTGTCCGGTCCTGTGGTCTGAGGTGCGATGCAGCGCAAGGGACAGAATGAGACAATTTCAACTAAAAGGGACTTGAGGGATCATTTCATCAAATCCTCTCTTTTTCCCCTGAGAAAAGGGAGACTGAGAGAGGGAACGGGAGATGGCCAAGGCACGCAGGTGGCAGGACTGGCTCTTAGATAGCAGTTCTGCCGACTTGTAGGCTACAGGGCACTTCCCAGGACTAATCGCAGCAATAACTCTCCACTTACCATTGCCCATAAGGAACTAGGGCCCAGTGTTTCATTGACATGTCAGTGGCCGCAAAGCTAAAGAATGTGAGGGCTGAGGTTGGACCGGGCTATCCTATTTTTGGTCCAATGTTTTTTCAACCTGAGTGCTATACCAGAGTCATTCCAGCAAGACTTTGGGAGAGTAGAGAAGGATCAACCCCTTGGGCTTCCCCCACAGCATCCCCATAGTCCCTCTCTGTCCCAGCAGAGTTGAGTGGTGGCATGACTTCTGTGATGGGCAAAGACAGCCGGGGACAGAATGGGCTCTGGCTCTCTCCAGAGTAGTAGAGAAAAAGAGAGGAAGCCAGGGAAACCAAAGATTGGCAAGAGACATATCCTACTTTTTAAAATCAATCTGGTTTTTGCTAGATTTCCTTTATCTTGACGGTTCTCTGACAGCATTTGTCTCTAAGGGTGATGATCTCACTAATTCCAGAGAACCACCCCCAATCCTGCTCTACCAGTCTTCAGGGGCCCCAACTAGAGGCACATTTGATGCTGCTGGGGCGGGGGGAGAGCTTTACACTGACACGTGGGAGCAGAGTGCTGGAAGGGGGTGGGCTGAGTTGGGATCGGGCGGTGCACGCAAGAGGTGTTTCAGTTACAGGTGGGAGCTGAGCCCCTGTCGCCTGCCTTTCCTGCACATCATCTGGCCAACAGCCTTCAGAATGCCACACACAATTCCTGATCCTTGTTTCAGCCCTGCTCACCCGTGATCTTGGTGGTCACCTCATCTTTCTGCATCCCATTTGCTTCAGTCATAAAGTGGAGTCCTCATTCCAGGTCCTCTCAGGGAGTTGGCCTGGGGAGTGCTATTCCAGAACTGCAGGAGCACACGTGCGGCTCTCAAGAGTTCTGGGCTGGGCTGTGAATACTAGGTAGTGGAGAGACGGGGGGCTTTCTTTCAGGATCAGAACAAGGCAACTGTGAGAACTGATGGGGTCAACGTGAATTATGAATGAGCCTTTCAGCCCTTCTTGATTTGGGTGGATAAGAGCTGGGAACCACTGTGTCCGTGCTCCTGTCACTCTCATTTACTCTTGGAAATAAGGAGCAGATTTAGTGCCACCTATGGATGTAGAAGTAGAGATGAGGGTTCCCACCAGGGATCTTAAGGGCCAGTCTGTATGCAGCCTGCTGGAGGCTCTCAGTCCCCGGGACACGTCTGTTTTTTGGCTGAAGCTGCTGCCCTGCAGTTGAAGGCTGGCAGGTGGTCAGCCCACAGCCAAGGGAAGACCCCCCCCAGGAAGCTCAGTGGTCGGTGACCAGTGTCTCACGTTCATCCTCGTGCCACCAAGTAGTCAGGGCCAGATCTTTGAAGGTCTCATGGACAAGGTCAGCACAGGCCTTGGGTCTGTCTTCATGGTGAAGCTGGGACAGCGACACAGGACCCTGAGGCCTGCAGGTGCAGCCTGGCTTAGGACATGTACTGAGAGAAAACTAAAACCCTGTGGAGGTGGAGGTCTTCTTGCGGGAGCCAAGACTGAGACACAGTGGTTCAGAGATGATAACTTCAGACATGCCCCGTCAGTGGTGAATCATGTTCAGCTGAACAGCTCAGTCTCGGGGTTGGGGTCTCTGGGTGGTGTGTAGGACTTTATGAGGTGCATTTGTGTACTAACCTCACTCCTGGCTCATCCCTAAGTGCCTGGTGTACTTTTAGATCATTTAAAAGTAACTTTATGGGAATTCCCTGGTGGTCCAGTGGTTAGGACTCCGCGCTTCCGTTGCAGGGGGCACAAGTTCCCTGATTAGGGAACTAAGATCCCACAAGCCACGTGGCATGGCCAAAAAAATAAATAAATTTAACTTTAATTATGCTACATTGTATTTATTTTTAAAGCTACCTTAAAAGGTTTTTGAAATAAGGCAGGGTATGCGGGGAAAAAAATATGTAAAGAGGATCTAACAAAAAGATGTTCGGTTGTTCCATCTTGAGTTCTGTTACAAAAGACGTCAGAGTCACAGAGTGAGCGCTAGGAGGTTTTGAGCTTGCCAGGTTCAACTGCCATGTTTCATCTGTGGGGAGAGGAGGGGTTTGTAGAGCGCGCACTGGAACCAGGGTGTTCTCGTGCTTGCTCTGGTGCCATCGGTTGATTTCGTGTGCTACAGAGGAGCTGGTCCTAGTCACACCTGTCACTAACGGCCCTTTCTGCAGGCTGACTCCAACTTAACTCCTCTGTGGACCAGCCCTTCCTCGCTTCTGGGCCCTCGGTGGGCTAGTGGAGCTCCTTGGTGAAAGGAGGCTGGTCACACTGCTGGTGGGGGCAGGGACAGGCAGTAAGTACTAACTTGTTTCCAACTATTCCTGGGTGGCCAGAGACCCAAATTTGATACTGGGCACTACGGTCATAATCTCCTAAGACCCAGAGTGGAAGCAGCAGGGTCAGACAAAGCACCAGGTACAAAGGTGTGAGTCTTATAATCTCTTGCTAGTGGGTGTGCCATCCTCTTAGACAAGGAGGAGGAGCTCGGGGAACAGAGCCAAGCAGTAGCATTTCCCTCTTGCTTTGTGAACTGCAGATTGCCCCAGCAGAAGGCCCAGACGTCAGTGAAAGGATGGTCATCATCACCGGCCCACCTGAAGCCCAGTTCAAGGTCAGTGCCAAGAACCCCCTCAGCCCTGTAGCCCTGGATACAGGGCAGCCTGTTAGGGAAGGCTGAGGGCCTTTAGCAGGCGCAGCTGCCCCAGAGCCAGGTTCAGGCTCTTCTTTGGAGGCCCAACCTCCATTTCCCTTCCTTCTATAGTCCCACCCACCCTGTCTTCCCCACCTCCAGGCTGCTCCCTCTGTGTGGAGCCCTCCTTTCCCTTCTTTCCCCTGGAAAAGTGGACTCTCTGTCAATGCCCAGTTAAGATGGCATCTCTGATCCCATTGGTCGTGGTTTTGAAGATGGGGCATAAACATGGGTGTGAGGGAAAATAGCACAGTTTGTTGGAAGTGTTGGGGGTGGGGGGCGGTGCACTGTTTCAATTTTTATTTTATATTGGAGTATAGTGCACTTACAACGTTGTGTCGGTTTTAGGTGTACAGCAAAGTGATTCAGTTATACATATACATATATCCATTCTTTTTCAGATTTTTTTCCCATATAGGTTAGTACACAATATTGAGTACAGTTCCTTATGCTATACAGTAGGTCCTTGTTGACTATTTTATATATAGTAGTGTGTATATGTTAATCCCAAACTCCTACTAATTTATCCCTCCCCCCCACGTTTCCCCTTTGGTAACCGTAAGTTTGTTTTCAAAGTCTGTGTCTGTTTCGTAAATAAGTTCATTTGTATCATTTAGATTCCACATATAAGTGATATCATGATATTCCTTTTTCTCTGTCTGACTGACTTCCGTTAGTATGATAATCTCTAGGTCCATCCATGTTGCTGTAGTGGTATTATTTCATTCTTTTATATGGATGAGTAATATTCAATTGTGTGTGTGTGTATATATTTATCTTTTGGTTGGAACATTTAATCCATTTACATTTAAGGTAATTATCAATATGTATGTTCTTATTGCCATTTTGCTAATTGTTTTGTATTTGTAGGTCTTTTTTCTTCCCTTCCTCTTTTTTTTCTTGTGATTTGATGACTATCTTAATGTTGTGTTTGGAATTGCTCTTTTGTGTGTGTGTGCTCCTGTTGTAGATTTTTGGTTTGTGGTTACCACAAGGTTTTGATATAGCAGTCTGTGTGTGTGTGTGTGTGTGTGTGTGTGTGTGATTGTTTAAAGTTGCTGGTCTCTTCATTTCAAATGCATTTCCAATATCCTGCATTTGTACTCTCCTCAGGATTGCTGGTTTTGATATCACATTTGTGTGTGGATGATTTCCTACCTTTACTGTATGTTTGCCTTTTACCGGTGAGCTTTTCCATTCGTAATTTTCCTGTTTCTAGCTGTGGGCTTTTCTTTTCCACCTAGAGAAGTTCCTTTAGCATTTGTTGTAAAGCTGGTTTGGTGGTGCTGAATTCTCTTAGCTTGTGCTTGTCTGTAAAGCTTTTGCTTTCTCTGTTGAATCTGAACAAGAGCCTTGGTGGGTAGAGTATTCTTGGTTGTAGTTTTTTCCCCTTTTATCACTTTAAATATATGGTGCCACTCCCTTCTGGCCTGCAGAGTTTCTGCTGAAAAATCAGTTGATAACCTTCTGGGGATTCCCTTGTATGTTATTTGTTGCTTTTCTCTTGTTGCTTTTAATATTTTCCCTTTGTTTTTAATTTTTGTCAGTTTGATTAATATGTCTCAGCATGTTCCTCCTTGGGTTTATCCTGTATGGGATTCTCTGTGCTTCCTGGACTTCAGTGAGTGTTTCCTTTCCCATGTTAGGGAAGTTTTTGGCTATTATCTTTTCAAATATTTTCTAGGGCCATTTCTCTCTTCTCCTTCTGGAACCCCTGTAATGCAAATGTTGGAGCATTTAATGTTGCCCCAGAGGTCTCTTAAATTGTCCTCATTTCTTTTCTTTTTTCTTTATTCTGTTCTGTGGCAGTGATTTCAACCAGTCTGTCTCCCAGCTCACTTATTTATTCTTCTGCCTCATCTGTTCTGCCTTTGATTCTTTCTAGTGTATTTTTCATTTCAGTTATTGTATTGTTCATCTGTTTGTTCTTTAAATCTTTTAGCTCTTTGTTAAATATTTCTTGTATCTTCTTGGTCTGTGCCTCCATTCTTTTTCCAAGATCTTGGATTATCTTTACTATCATTATTCTGAATTCTTTTTTCAGGGGGATTGCCTATCTCTAATTCACTTAGTTGTTCTTCTGAGATTTTATCTTGTTCCTTTGTCTGGAACATATTTCTCTGCTGTCTCATTTTGTCTGACTTTCTGTGTTTGTGGTCTCCGTTCTGCAGGCTGCCAGATTGTAGTTCTTGCTTCTGGTGTCTGCCTTAACCCCTGGCTGAGGTTGGTCCAGGGGCTTGTGCAGGCTTCCTGGTGGGACGGACTTGTGCCTGCCCGTGGGAGGGTGGAGCTGGGTCTTGTCCCTCTGGTGGGCACAGCCGTGTCAAGGGGTGTGTCGAGAGGTGGCTGTGGGCTCAGGATGACTTTAGGCAGCTGTCAGTGGGTGGGTCTGTATTCCCACCTTGTTGGTTGTTTGGCCTGAGGCCTGCAAGCACTGGAGCCTGCAGGCTGTTGGGTGGGGCCAGGTTTCAGTACCAAGATGGCGACCTCAGGGAGGAGGCATACTCACGCTGAGAAGTATTCCGTGGGGCCCCCGCCACCAGTGTCCTTGCCACTGCAGTGGGCCACAGCCAACCCCTGCCTCCCCAGGAGACCCTCCAAGACCCACAGGTAGGTCTGGCCCAGGCTCCTGTGGAGTCACTGCTTTGTCCTGGGTCCCAGTTCACATGAAACCTTGTATGCACCCTCCAAGAATGGAGTCTCTGTTTCCTCTAGTCTTGCAGAGCTCTTGCACTCAAGCCCCACTGGCCTTCAAAGCCAAATGCTCTGGAGGCTCCTCCTCCAGATGCCAGACCCCCAGGCTGAGGAGCCTGGCATGGGGCTCAGAACTCTCACTCCTGTGGGAGAACCTCTACAATATAATTAGCTTCCAGTTTGTGGGTCACCCACCTGGTGGGTATGGGATTTGATTATATCGTGAAAGCACCCCTCCTGCCATCTCATTGTGGCTTCTTCTTTGTCTTTGGATGTAGAATATCTTTTTTGATAGCTTCCAGTTTTTTTGTCAATGGTTGTTCAACAGTTAGTTGTGATTTTGGTGTTTTCGTGAGAGGTGGTGAGCTCAAGTCCTTCTATTCCACCATCTTGTCTCCCTTCCCCTGCATTGTTTTGTTATTGCCTTTTCACCCCTAGGAAAATTATAACTTGAGTTTTCTAAAAGTCAGAAACATTTATTTGTAAAAATATAATTTGTATTAAAAATATTTAAAATGTGAGAAAAAAATTAACACGTGTAAATGTTCAAGAACAATAATCCTTCAACTCATGAATGGATAAACAAAATGTGGTATATCCACATATTAGGATATCATTCAGCCATGGAAAGAGTGAGATTCTGATGCATGCTATATTATGGATGAACCTAGAAAACATTACACCAAGTGAAAGAAGGCAGACACAATTGACCACATAATATATATTTCGTTTATGTGAAACATCCAGAAAAAGCAAATCCAGAGACAGAAGGGTAGTTTAGTGGTTGCCAGGGACTAGCGGAAGGGAGGAATTGGGACTGTCTGCTAACAGGTATGGGGTTTTATTTGGGGGAATGGGATGAAAATGTTCTGGATAGCAGTGGTGGTTGCACAACCTAATGAATATACTAAAAACCACTGGAGTGTACACTTTAAAGTGCTGAATTTTAAGTTACGTAAGCTATATCTCAGTTTTTTTACAAGTTCTTTTAGGGACTTCCCCGGCGATCCAGTTGTTAAGACTCTGCACTTCCACTGCAGGGGGGCACGGGTTTGATCCCTGGTTGGGGAACTAAGATCCCACATGACATGCGGTGCAGCCAATAAATAAATAAATAATTTTTTTTTTTTAAGTTCTTTTAAAAAGAACAAAAAGCTTTTGGCTACACTGGCTCTGGAGTTAAACATCAAAGAGCAAATCCCATCAACACCACCCTTGCCTCCATCCTTTAATAACCGGAGGCCTGAACGTATCATGGTGGGAGGAAGTTAAGAATTCCCTGAACAAATTCATTCAACCAAACATTTATAGTTGCTCAGGATACAGAAATAAGACATGTAGTTCCACCCTGACCCGATACACAGAAAGCTTCCTGTGCGATCCATGTGCAAACCTGAAGACACGGGAGTGTCTGTGCATGTCTGCAACGTACACTCCTTGGGTGTGGCAGGCATGCACCCACTGGGTCTGAGCGAGCTGAGCAGACCCCGGGGAGCATGGGGCTGGGGCTGTACCGTTGCCTGGACTCACTGGTTCCTGTAGCAGTGCTGCTAAAGCAGGTTGACGTGTCTTGCTCTCTCAGGCCCAGGGGCGGATCTTTGGGAAACTGAAAGAAGAAAACTTCTTTAACCCCAAAGAGGAGGTGAAGCTGGAAGCCCACATCCGAGTGCCCTCCTCTACAGCTGGCCGTGTGATCGGCAAGGGTGGCAAAACCGTAAGTGTGCTCTGAGCTGGCTTTGTCTCCTGGCCTGACTTCCCTCAGACCCCCACTGACTCTTCAAGGACAAAAATGTAATTAGCATCATCCAGAGCTGAGGGCCCCAAATCCACAGTGCTGAGCCAGACACCGAAACACCAGGGTCCTGGGTCCAGGAACACTGCATCTAGGCTATGTGCTGGGAAATGAAGACAGGGAGGCTGCCTCCTGCCCTGTAAACCCACACACATAGCAGCAGGAAGACGATAAGGAGAAGAGTCCCGCCCAGAGTATACAGACATACCTTGCAGATATTCTGGGTTCCGGTTCCCGACCACTGCAGTGAAGCAAGTCACAGGAATTTTTTTGGTTTCTCCCTTCACAGGTGAATGAACTGCAGAACTTAACCAGTGCAGAAGTCATTGTGCCTCGTGACCAAACGCCAGATGAAAATGAGGAAGTGATTGTCCGAATTATCGGGCATTTCTTTGCCAGCCAGGTACCTGTGCTGTGAGGGTCCAGTCTCTCCTGCTAATCTCTTTGCAAGTCTCTAAGTTCTTGGTGACCTGTCCGGTGGCCCCAGGCCGTGCACACACACCCCCACCCTGACCCCCATGCACAGATGGAACAGGACAGGGGCAACTGTTCCTTGGCTCACCACTGCTCTCCCAGGCCTGCTGGAGGAGCCTGAGGAAGGGTATAGAGCTTTGGAGTCAAGCCAGCACAGTTCAAGCCTCTGAAATGCTGAACTGCGGGCTCTCCTGTTCCCTCGTCCTCCCGCTCAGGCCTCAGTCACAGCCTTCCCCTGCTGGGAGCCATATATCAGGCAAGGGCCACCCTTGGGCCCTGAGGACCAGCCTAGGTGCCAGAATTCCACTATTATGGGTTAAACGCTCATGTCAGGAGACCCTTGTTTCTCTTTCCTCTCCTCTGCTTCACTGTGACAACCCCCATTAGGACTCAGGGCCCCACACAGCTGCTTCTCTTCCAGTCAGAAGGGCTAGTGACTCAGAATCACGTGACCTGGTTCTTTTTGATGCTTTTTTGTTGTTGGGGGAGGGGGTTGGGTTTGGGGATAGAGCAGTCCAGTCACTGTCCCAAAGGAGCAGAGGCAGTCTAAGCCAACACTGCAGGTTTGTCTGAGCGTCAGCCTGCGCTCTCAGTGCCGTGCCTTTGCCAGGACCTGCCACGCTGCTGTGCCCTGCACCCCACCAGCACCCTTTGAGACCATGCCTGGGGCTCTCTCATCCCAGCTCTTCCAGTGTTCCGGGCGTGGGTCTCAATGTCTGGGCTCCTGTAGGCGTTCAGTCTGCAGGGTTCTCCCTGCAGTGGGAGCAGCAGGGTGGGTGAGGGGACAGGTTTGGGTTCATGTGTTTTCTCCACTTGTTCAGGGTAGAGTGTCTGGCCCGTTTCTCACTTTCTCCCCATCCCATTGACCGTCCATCTTCCCTTGCCATACACCACTGTCTCTGCAGTAACTCTAGGAAGGCAGGGAGGAGGCGAAGCGTTGGACGTTGGAGCATGTGTTAGCTGGGAGGGAGGATGCCGTCTGACCTCTACAGGTTCCCTAGTCACTAATGCCCTGGTTCTGCTTCCTGGGGTCCCACCCTCTTACCCTCCACCCAGCAGCCTCAGCAGGGTGGGGGGTGGGGAACTCTGCCACTTTACTTCCAGGCAGAAAAGGCCTGGAGTCAGGGCCTCAGTAGGTAGATGACACTTTTCTGAGTTTACCGCCTCCTTCCCCCAAGTCCCAGCCCTGCTTCCCCACACCCCACTGCTTGTCCTCAGAACTGGGTTCCTTTTCTCCCCTGTCCCCCTCCTCTCCCTTGCTGCAGACTGCACAGCGCAAGATCAGGGAAATTGTACAACAGGTGAAGCAGCAGGAGCAGAAATATCCTCAGGGAGTTGCCTCACAACGCAGCAAGTGAGGCTCCCACAGGCACCAGCAAACAACGGATGAATGTAGCCCTTCCAACACCTGACAGAATGAGACCAAACACAGCCAGCCAGATCGGGAGCAAACCAAAGACCATCCTGAGGAATGAGAAGTCTGCGGAGGCGCCAGGGGCTCTGCAGAGGCCCTGAGAATCCGGGGGGCCAGGGAGGAGGCGGGAGGGCAGCCGTGCCGGGGCCCGGCCTCCCAGCTCCCCCAGGGCCTCTGCAGGCTTCCCAGCCATCCACTTCACCATCCACTCGGGTCTCTCCTAACCCCACCACGCTATCCCTTCTAGTTGAACTAACATAGGTGAATGCGTTCAAATCAAAGCAAAATTCACACCCTTTTCTTTTTGCGGAAAATTGTCTCTGTACATGTATGTACATATTAGAAGGGAAAGATGTTAAGATATGTGGCCTGTGGGTTACACAGGGTGCCTGCGGCGTTAATATATTTTAGAAATAATATATCAGATAACTCAACTAACTCCAATTTTTAATCAGTTATTCTTTTTTCTTTTTAAAGAGAAAGCAGGCTTTTCTAGACTTTAAAGAATAAAGTCGTGCTTTGGGAGTTCTAACGGTTTAGTAAGGAGCTTCAAGGCCACCCACACAAAATTCACCCGGAGGGAAATCTCGTCGAAAGGACACTCACAGCAGTTCTGGATCACCTGTGTATGTCAACAGAAGGGATACCGTCTCTCTGAAGAGGAAACTCTGTCTCTCTTCATCCCTGTCTAGCTCACACACCCATTTCTCTTTGCTTCACAGGTTTTAAACTGGTTTTTGCATACTGCTATATAATTCTCTGTCTCTCTCTGTTTATCTCTCCCCTACCCCCTCTCTCCCTCCCCATCCTCTCCATCCCCATTCTTGTTAATTCCCTCATCCCTCTGTCTCAATTCCCATATCTACGCACCCCCCAGGCAAAGCAGTGCTCTGAGTATCACATCACACAAAGGAACAAAAGCGAAACACACAAACCAGCCTCAACTTACACTTGGTTACTCAAAAGAACAAGAGTCAATGGTACTTGTCCTAGCATTTTGGAAGAGGAAAAACAGTAACCCATCAAACCAACCAACCAAACAAAGAAAAATTCCACAAAGAAAGAATGTATTTTGTCTTTTTACATTTTGGTGTATAAGCCATCAATATTCAGCAAAATTATTTCTTTCTTTTAAAAAAAAATATGGAGGAACATAGCAATTTACACGAGGTCGTTGGCCCAGGGCGTTAAATTTACAGATTTTTTTAACGAGAAAAACACACAAAAAAAAGCTACCTCAGGTGTTTTTTACCTCAGCACCTTGCTCTTGTGTTTCCCTTAGAGATTTTGTAAAACTGATAGTTGGAGCATTTTTTTATTTTTTTAATAAAAATGAGTTGGAAAAAAATAAGATATCAGCTGCCAGCCTGGAGAAGGTAACAGTCCAAGTGTGCAACAGCCGTTCTGAATTGTCTTCCGCTAGCCAAGAACCTATATGGCCTTCTTTTGGACAAACCTTGAAAATGTTTATTTAAAAAAAAAAAGTGACAAAGAAAAACAGAGAGAGAATATTGGAGATGTCCTGAATTTCAATAGGGTACGCGCCATTAGGGCTTTTTGCGCTAAAGGATGAACATGTACTGGTTTATGTGAACAAGCCATTTTACCACCAGACTGCAATGCCAGTTTCCTCTACTGCAAACAGTGTTCTGTGACAAAAACAAAAACAAACAAAAAGAAATATATCCAGCTAACAAGATCCTGGTGTCTTGGTCTCTTATTTTACTAAGTATCACCCATCCCAAAGTGTCAGCTGAATTCCACCTCTGAGGGGACTTCAGGGAAATGGGTGGCATATACCGTCAGGTCTGGGAAGCTACACTGAGGAGGCTGGCTTCTCCAGGCAGGTCTTTGGGAGAGAAGCTAAACTAGGTCAGTGGTGCTCAGACAGTGCTCCTCAGACCAGCAGCACCAGTATCACCTGGGAACATGTTAGATATGCAGGTTCTCAGGGTCCACCTTGGGACAGAAATTCTAAGGGTGGAGGGTGGGCCCCTGAGCAGTCTCCATCAGTGAGCCCTCTGGGTGATTCTGATGTACACTGAGGTTTGAGAACCACAGAACTAGAGAGCTGGATACTGCACAGTAACTAGGTAAGGCCATCCCCTATCTTAAGAAACTTTAAGCCTGGCCAGGGAAGGAGCTTACTTTTATGTGGGGGGAAGGAAGAGGATAATATGCCTGACAATTTAAGGGAAGAGGTACTTCCTTCACCCCTCCCCAGAAGCCCAGTTGTAAGTATGTCAGGAGATGTGGTGAGTAGGCCTGGACATCCCTTCTATCCTGGTTAGTTTCCCTCCAAATTTGCCTTAAGACAATCTCGTTTTCTCCAACATGGAGCTATGGAAAGGAAGAGGTTGTTTGCAAATTGGAAGACGATTCCAGCATAGAGAACTTAAAAACATGAGAAAAAGGATCGATAGAATAGAAATTTGGAGGGGTTTCAACAAAAGAGAGGAAATGATTAGCCCTAGACAGAAGTCATCTTGACAGGTAGCAAGGGTAGAAGAAAACACTGGACTTCTAAGGGAAGCAGGGGAAAATTGATAACCTGGCATCAGCTAGGATGTGAATGACTCGGTGACTGAGCAGACAGAGATAGGATGAGGACTTACGGAGTATGAAAGCATTTGGCCTAGTCTTATTCCTGTATCCCTGGGGAAGGACATGGGCAACAGGCATCCCCATGTGAACGACGATGAGGGAAGCCCACAACTGTAGAAATTCAGAGACCAGCCTAAATTGTACACGCATCCAAATCTTTCACTGTCTTAAAGCCTAACGGAAATATCTTTGACCTGCTACCGCTAATGTCTAATACCACTGCTAGCAAATCTCCTGATGTTTACTGTCAGCTGTTGCCACCTTTTATTTCTCTCTACATTCCCCTTAAGGTGCTGGTGAATTAAAATGAGACTTACCCCATATGCATGTTAATTTTCTATTCTAGCTCACATCAGCCACATAAGTCACTGTCTCTCTAGAAGCCATGAGTGCTCTTAATAGCTCTTGCTCTCACAGAAACAGCCAACATGAGGAGAAACCTCATGGAACAACTATATTCTAACTTGACCTCGATTCTCCTGCGTTCTCTCGTAAAAGCAGGGATCCAAGGTACTTGGTTTGTTCCCATTTTAAGAGCTAACCTAATCTCAGATGTGGCTGACAATAAACAGTGAAGAATATTCCCTTTTGCGTCCAGTAAGCTCTAGTGATCAGGGCAAACTCTGAATGAAAAACCAAACTCAAACGGATCCCTGTATCAGTTTATCTGTAATTGCAACAATTCCTAATATGAAAGATTCCCGACTTCTGTGACTCCTGAATGTCCCTGATTCTCGATAGCTACAAAACTGCTTCCAGTCACCCTCACTGAACCTGGCAAAACCTTTTCTCAACTCTTAAGTTCACAGAACAGCAGTATTGGGAAAGGATTTTCGAGGTCATTTGGTCCACTTTCCTAATATGGAATAATGTCCTCTAAACTCTCTCCAAAGTCTGGCCACCACCCCCTCCCCCGGCGAGGAGAAACGCGGCTCCTAAGGCAGACAGTTCTGTCGTCACACAGTCCAGCCTCCTAGATCTTCCTTCCACTGATCTGAAATCCGCTCACCCCACAACCACCACACACTGAATCTGCTACATGTTACTTAGGACAACGCCCCTAATGTTTGAAGACAGTTGTCTAGTTCTCCCTTTACTCAGTTCCTCCAGTCATCCCTTATCGCTGGGACTTGCTTTCCCTCGGCTGTGAAAACTCATTGTGGAATACAGCTCCACCTCCTGCATCCGGCACCTTCAAAACCCCAGTAACTGGCTGTCAGCATGGGAGGCCTTGCTCAGCAAACAGAGCAAGGGGCTGTGAAGGGAACTTAACCAGGGCATAGCTCAGCTTTGCCCTAGGGCAGGCCTGAAGGCAGGGATGGGTGCCTCTTTCCCTGTACCAGATCTCTATCAGTCTCACTTTCTCATCAGGAGAATAAGAAAGCCCAGGCCCAGACCTTTTCTCCCTGGTTGCCTGTACACTAGCTAAATAACCTTGTGCATATCACAGCCTCCTGGAGGCCTGTCTCCTCATCTGTAAAATAAAAGTTTGAACACAACAAAGTCTTTGATTCTAACTGATGTATAAGAAGGGACTTTAAAGTCAAAAATGGCTTCTGGTTAGCAGCCTTCAATGTTCCTTCTTACAATTTCTCATTAAACATCAAGAAAGAGGACTTACTGGTGGCGCAGTGGTTAAGAATCTGCCTGCCAATGCAGGGGACACGGGTTCGAGCCCTGGTCCGGGAAGATCCCACATGCCACAGAGTAACTAAGCCTGTGTGCCACAATTACTGAGCCTGCGCGCCACAACTACTGAAGCCTGCACGCCTAGAGCCCGTGCTCCACAACAAGAGAAGCCACCGCAATGAGAAGCCTGCGCACTGCAAACGAAGAGTAGCGCCCAGCTCACTGCAACTAGAGAAAGCCCACACACAGCAATGAAGACCCAACGCAACCAAAAACAAATAAATTTATATATTAAAAAAAAAGAAAACATCATAGGGCTGGGCCAAGAAGGAGTAGGAAGACCGTGAGCTCACCTTCTCTCATGGGCACAGCAAAATTACAACCATTTACAGAGCAGCTATCAATGAGAAAACCCAGAAGACTAGCAGAAAAGATCTACAACTAATAAGGAACCAGAAAAAGATGGGTAGGAAGGGTGGAGTTGCAATATTGTCAAGACCCACACCCCTGGGGGGGTAACCTACAAATGGGAAGATAATTACAACTGCAGAGGTTCTCCCCAAGGAGCAAGTGTCTGAGCCCCACGTCAGGCTCCCCAACACAGGGGTGCACTACAAAGATGAGCCCCCAGAACATTTGGCTTTGAAGGCTAGTGGGGCTTACTTTTGGGAGATCCAGAGAGACGCTACTCTTAAAGGGTGCACACAAAATCTCACATGCTCTGGGACCCCGTGCAGAAGCAGTAATTTGAAAGTAGCCTGGGTCAGACCTACCTGCTGAACTTGGAAAGTCTCCTGGAGAGGCAGGGAGCAAGTAGAGCTCACCCTGGGGACAAAGACACTGACAGCAGCCATTTTTGAGAGTTCCTTCTACCACGGGGACACTGGTGCTGGCAACTGCCATTTTGGAATCCTCCCTCTAGCTTGTTAGCCTCGGGACCCAGCCCTACGCCCTCCCACCAGCCTGTAGGCCCAAGTACTGGGTCCCCTCAGGCCAAGCCACGTGGGGACACAGTCCCACCCATGAGCAGCCAGGCTGCCTTAAGACCCCCATAGCCCAGAGCCATCCCTGAAAGCAGCTCTGTCCACCAGAGGACCCAGGACCTGAGACACTTAGTACACAGGCACTGCACTCAGGACTTCCAAGACCCTGCAGCCAGAGACCCTGGGAGCCAGCTCTGCCCACCAGTGGGCCAACACCGCAGGACCTCCTGGGCACTGACCCCACCCACCAGTGGGTAGACAGCAGGAACAGAACCACCATGCCCCACAGCCTGCCTTGTCAGGACTCAGACAATATACCAGTAGGACAGCACCACCCTCAGGAGCCCCAAGCTCCAGCCCTTTCCATCAGCAGGCCAACATCTCCTTTGGGACACCTTGGGCACCTCAGCCAGAGGCCTGTGGATCCAGCCCCACCCACCAGTGAGCTGGCAATAGCTCTGGGAGCCCCTGGGCTCTGGCCCCATGCATCAGCAGGCCAATACCACCTCTGAGATACCATGCACTATTCAACCAGCCACCGCGGGATCCAGCCCCACACACCACTGGGCCAGCACTGGCTCTGAGACACCCTGGAACCTACAGTGAGCCATTTCAGGAACTGGCCCCAACCACCAGCAGGCCAACACTATATCCAGGAATGCTAGCTCTGCAACCACCCACCCCAGAACCCAGTTCTGCCCAAGAGTGAGCCACCACTAGCCCCAGGGCCCTCCAGGCTTCTGTAGCCAGCCACATGACCTGGCCCTGCCAAACAGTGGCTGGCAGCCTCCACACAAGGCAGACCCTGGCAACCAACCAGACCAGGGGTCAGCAACTCCTACCAGACAGCCCACAATAACCAGCCCTCTATAATAAAAGGGCCCACACAGCCCACATAGGTTAGGAGCACATCTAGAGCATACAGTACTGGTGACCAGAGGAGAGTACACTTCTGGGATGCATAGGATGTCTTCTACGAAAGGCCACTTCTCCAAGGTCAGGAAACGTAACCAACCTACCAGACACATAGATATAAAAACAAATTCAGAAAAGTTAGGTGACACAGGAACATGTTATAAAAGAAGGAACAGGATAAAACCCCAAGAAGAACTAAATGAAGTGGAGGTAGGCAACCTATCAGATAAAGAGTTAAATTTTTACAATCATAAAGATGATCAAAGAACTCAGGAGAAGAATAGATGAACAGAGTGAGAAGTTAGAAATTGCTGGGAATTCCCTGGCGGTCCAGTAGTTAGGCCCTGGTTCAA